TGGTTAATATTTAAATCAAGTTAGCAGATATTAATTGGTATCTCCTCTACACAAAGTAAAGTACTAGAGTGATAATGAATAAAAGTGGGTTCCTGCCCTGGAAGAGCTCCCAGTCTAGTCAGAGTTGAGATTCCATACTAACTAGACACTAAGTATTATTATTGTTAATGTTCCTACTGTGACAGAATTGAAATATAGTACCAAAATTATAAAGGGCCTTTTTCACTCTTGAAAAACATCAGCGCCGAAACCGGTTTGGCTCAGTGGATAGAGCGTCGGCCTGCGGACTGAAAGGTCCCGGGGTTCGATTCCGGTCAAGGGCATGTACCTTGGTTGCGGGCACATCCCCAGTGGGAGATGTGCAGGAGGCAGCTGATCGATGCTTCTCTCTCATCGATGTTTCTAACTCTCTATCTCTCTCCCTTCCTCTCTGTAAAAAATCAATAAAAAAAAATATTAAAAAAAAATAAAAGAAAAACATCAGCTAATCAAATTAAAAATAGAGTGATTTTTCTAAAATGCAAATACGAACTCATCAGCTCTCTGCTAAACAACTACCAATGCCCCCCCGCCCCCGCTCCCAGTTTAATGTACAACTTCAAAACATGCTGTATCTGTCCTCTGCTAACCTCACTTCATTTCTTACATCCTTAATAGTCCCCTCACTCCTACCTCCCAGGTTTTTGTTATTCTTACCCACTTATAATCTCCAAAGGTTTGTCATTTACTTTTTAAATTTTTTAAAATTGATTTTAGAGAGAGGAAAAGAGAGATCAATTTGTTATGCCACTTATTTTTTAAAATATATTTTATTATTTTAAAAAATATATTTTTATTGAGAGAAAGAGAGAAAGAGAAATTTGTTATGCCTCTTATTTATGAACTCATTGGTTGCTTCTTGTATGTGCCCTGACCAGAAGTCGAACCCGCAAGCTGGGCGTATTGGGACTACGCTATAACCAACTGAGCTACCTGGCCAGGGCCTGTCATCTAATTTTGAACCTTTGCATAAATTCCCTCTACTTGGAATTGTTCGTCAACATTCACCATTTTCCCCTCTCCCTCATTCCTCCCCCCCCCACAAGATACTTTAGAGAGGGAAGAAGACACCCCATAAAGATCTATTAAATAATGCCTTCTGAATATCATTCTTGGAATAAAAGAATTTATTGAGAGAACACTGCAACGGAATTCAACTCAGCAGTATACTTCTTTTCCTCCTGAGTCTTCTATTCCTTCTGCTCCCAAGACTGCATTTCTACAGCTTTGCTTTTCAGTTTTTAAGGGGAGGAGCAACTACAATAATGTAAGAAGTATGTTTTCTCCTCAGCAAACATTGTCTGAGCACCAGCCTCCGGCAGTGTGTCTGAGGCTGTTGATCCATAGTTTAATAAGCCAGCGCCCCTTCCTTCAGAGTTCACAGTCTCTAGGTGTTCCCATGTAATGATCCTCAGGCCCCTGAAACACCTCAGGAGTGGCGCACTGACAGTACCTTCTTCAGGCACAAGTCCCTGGACTAAGCACTAAAGTGTGCTCAGGGAGCACGGGACTCCTTAGTAAATAAAAAATAATTTTAATGAGCCCCAAACCAGATTTCAGAAGGACGCACAGGAGGAAAGGCCCTGCACGGAGATTAACCAAAGCACAGATACGTAATTAAGGCCAGAATTAGACACACACATTGGGGGCAATAATCCAAATATCAAAACTGGAAGCAACCTTACTTGTTACTTAATTCCACGCCCCTCAATTCAGAGAAAAGAAAAATAGAGCCAGAGAGAGAGAGAGAGAGAGAGAGAGAGAGAAAGAAAAGAAAAAAGAACCTTCTCGAATGTCATACCGCTAGTTAATGGCAGTCAGGACTAGAACCCAGGCTTTCTGACACCCAGTTCGGCGTTCTCGCGCCGCTAAGAAATTCATGGAATCTGGAAAAGGATGTTGGAAATATCCAACAACATGCAGCTGGACTGGTGGAAACGTCTGAATGGAACTGGAAGCCTTGAGACTTATCTGAAAGGTAAAAAGAAGTCACTGTAGAGAAAGCCCGGATCTGGCGGCCTCGAACCCGAGCCCGACAACCTTGGGCACAGGGGAGGCTGGGACTGGGGTCCGCACCTGCCGCGGCGCTCCGGCTGCAGACCGCTTCGGAAGCCTGAAGTAGGGTCACGCAGGGGAGAAATGCATCCTGGAAAAGCGCAATGTGTATGACTTGTGCCACTGACACTCTAGGTCAAACAGCATACGCCACCCGGACGACCGGCTGGGGGACCCCACTCACTCAGCTCCTGCAAAAGGCCTGCAGGCTCTGGACTCTGAAACCTGGCGCAGATCACCTTCTGGACCTGGGGGAACTGACGGTGGGTCAGTCCGTCTCCGAAAAGGTCCCCGCCACGCTTCCGGTGCCGCCGGAAGCGGTTCTTCCCCGAATTCAGAGGTCTGAATCCGGAATAATCGCTCTTGCCGCCAGGACCGGGGTGGGGGTGGGCGTTGCCCAGCGCGGGAAGCGCTAGTTCAATGTGTAGCCTCTTCCCGGGGTCAGCCGCGAGTCGGTAATCGCTTCTGCAGGTCCCTTCCTTTTCTAGAAGTTTATTACTGCTCTTCTGGGGCTGTGAGCGCCTACCCTCCGAGGAAAGTTAAACCCGGAAATGTGGGAGAAAGGATAGGTTCTTATAAGACACATACAAGGAAAAAATATCAGGGAACGTGGCCCTGACTAAATAGTCAGGTATTGCATGTTTTAATTCTTGCAGCACACCGGTTGAAAATCGCTGGGCTGTTGTGCTGTAGGTGGTGAAAAGGGAAAGGACTTGAGAGGCAATTATGATGGATTAGCTATAGGGTGGCTGGGTGGTGGTGGTGGTGGGAAGTGGAGGTGGGTTTAGGAGAGGGATTCATGCCTTGCATAACTGATGGATGGCAGTTCAATCCCAAAGAGATTTCTAGGTAGACAATGTGCTGGATGCACTGCCAATTTTATCTCTTTTCATTCTTCTTTTGTAGCTACCACGGAGCTACCTTGGTTAATGTTTTCCTACTTTGGGGACATAATTTACATTGCTTAGGTACAATCAGATTCCAATTATTCTTTCCTTGCTTACTCTCTAGTCACTGTGATTGGATTTGGATATTTAGTCTTCAAAGTCTTCAAATATTTAAGGACAATCACTCGGGATATGCCTATCTTCCAAAGGGTGATCTTGCTATTGATTGCTTTCTACTTTCATTCTTAGAGGAAAAGCTAATAAAGTGAGCCCCACCAACCTTACATGCCAAAATAAATTTTAATGAATTGAGTGTTCTTAATAAGAAATTAGGTTGAATGTGAAAGCTGTTAACATTTATACAGTAGCTAAATGAGCCAAGACATAAACAAAGCTAATTCACAAATGGGGAAATAAAAGAATAAACATGAAAAAAAGTTCCAAGTAAGCCTCTCTCCCTTGTCTGTTTTCTAAGCACTCAGTAATCTGTAAGAAAAAAAGCATAATATGCTAATTAGACCAGACAGCTGAATGACCTTCCACACGTCCTTCTGGATGAAGCTGCGGTGGTGGGGGCTGAGGCAGAGGTGGTTAGGGGCGAGCAGGCAGGCAGACGAGTGGTCCCAGATTGCAGGAAGGTGCAGGCTGGGCTGAGGGACCCCCGCCCCCCCCCCCCGCCCCCAATGCACGGATTCCGTGTACTGGCCTCTAGTGTAGTATGTTTGCTTTTGTTATTGACCTGAATTTAGATGGCCATGAGTAGTAAGTAGCCTGTTGTTTCATAATCAGAGATGAAATAATTAGATGAAACAATAATTAGTAGGGAAACATGGCTCAGCAGTTTTTAGAAGTGGTTAAACTGAAAAGTTTTATTATTTTTTTAAATATATTTTTATTGATTTCACAGAGGCAGGGAGAGGGAGAGAGACAGAAAAATCAATGATGAGGGAATCATTGATTGGATACCTCCTGCATGCTCGAGCGCACAACGCGAGCATTTGCCCTTGACCGGATCGAGCCCAGGACCCTTTAGTCCACAGGCCAACGCTCTATCCACTGAGCCATGCAAGCGAGGGCAAGCTGGGAAGTGTTATCATGTGCTGTCCAAGGCCAACCTGGGTGAAATTGTGAAGTCAGTTCTTGCAGTTTCCACCAAGGCCTATGCAGTGAGGACCCAGATAGATACTTTGTTGTGTCTTCTGAAGGGGCTTCCTGTTCCAGGCCTTTAGTTTGCACCTCAGAAATAACCTAAATCTATTCTCACTGGAGTTAGACGTCCCTTGGATTATCTATGTTTATTTGGGATTTGAGGCTTAATCTAATTTCATAAATGAAACCCTAACGTGACATTTCAGGCCTCATACAAGGGTTCAGTGAAGTTTCTAAGGATAGCAGAAGCCACCCCACCAGAGGCAGGCAAACTGCTTCTGAAAAAGCTGGGTCCAGGCTGCCGCGGCTAACTATTCGCAGATGAATAATAACAAAAGTTAACTTGCAGAAAGGGTAAAGAGGAATTATAATTAAAAAATTGAGAAGTCTTCAAGGGTTAGGGATTGGCCCCCAACTCGCTCCCTGATGGTTCACAAACTCAGGGAGTTTCCCTGGTGAAACCTGAAACCGTCCCCTACACAGAGGACAAGCAGAAACCGCAGGGGCAGGCCGCTCCATGTTGGCAGGTGACAGGTTTAATAAGCAAGGGGACTTGTTAGGCGGTTGTCTTGGGAGGCTGCAAGACAAGACCTCCATCCAGATAGTTTGTAGTATGTTATACAGAGGCCATAACACGGTTCAGTGGCCTTTACGGTCCAGATGGTCTCAGCACATTACTCTTCCAAGGTTGCTTCCCTCAGGTGCAACCTTTAACATCAGAACTCGCATGTTCTCTGATCTTCCCTCCGCGCAGGTGTTGAAAGGCTGCGTCCAGGGACCGCTTTCAGGAACTTGCAGGGAGGGGCGCACGGAGATGGCCCCGCCCACCCCCGGAAGGTCCCGCCCCCGGAAGGCGCCGGCACTGGGCTTCCAGAGGCGGTCCGATAGGCGCTCTCATCAACCTCCAGATGCCAGGCGCTTCCTCGCCCACGGTCGCTCCCGCTGGCCACGACAGCGGCATGGCGGGCGCTGAGTTGCGGGCAGCGCTCGAGCAGAGGCTCGACGCCCTCGCCATCCGCGCGGAGGTCGTGGAGCACCCGGAGGTGAGACGCCCCCGCCGGGACGGGGAGGGTGGGCGCAGAAACGAACATCTTGGGCATTTCCCGGGTTCTCGTGCGGAAAGGACCCAACAGCACCCAAGGCCCCTGGATTTGGGATTATGGTGTTCTGTGGGAAAACTTGTTTTCCTCTTGCTTTCGCACATTTCATATTGAGAACTAGTGCAGCATACCGAGAACTGGTGCACTGTAAACTGCTGCGAGATGCTGCTCAGTTTGTCCACTTTGTGTCAAGTCACCCAGCAGAAAACTGTCCCTGCAGTAGCTACGACGTATCAGGCATCACGCACCCCGGCTGGACACCAGGGTTAGAGAGTCTGGTATTTTTCACATGATTTAGTGGATATGAAGATTTGCAAATATTTCACAGAACCAATTGTAACTTGAGAGCTGCGGGTCCATAACTTTTTTACCCAAAGCTTCCGTGACAGCTACTGGTAGTACCGAAGTATGGCAATCTCCAAAGGGAGAAGTCCATTAAAAGTCTTCTCAACTTTACAAATTTAACGCCAAAACTGTCATTTTCTCTGATCCTCCCCTCCCACAGAGCCCACACACGCTCCTTGACCTGTGCATATTGCCAGCTTTCTGCTGTTCTGTTAGTCCAGGGTCTCACTCCCTGCCTTCACCCTCACCCTCTCACCCTCACCCTCACCCTGGTTACATACCTGTAGATTGGAGGTTGTCACCTGATCTAGATGTAATGGGATGCTAAGGAATCTGGGCTGTTACAAACTTTCAATTTAAAGAAAAAAAAAAAGGCAAAAAGTATTTTAAGAATGTGAGGGCTTGGTCAGTCAGCACACTGGAATAGAGAACTGACCTAAGATAAATTACTTGAGGTCCCGATACGAGGAATTGAGCGGGTAAAGGCTTGCAGTTCATAATGGGTGAAGTCCAGAGCACTGAGTGCTTCCTAACCTTGCTGTGTTTTTTTCCCCTAATGTTGCTGTTTTCGCCCAGCAAGCAAAATACATTGTAACTGTGTGTGTGTATACAGTGTGTGTATACATGCATATTATTTTTAAATTTCCCATGTGACATTTTACAGGTGTTTACAGTTGAAGAAATGATGCCTCATGTCCAACATTTGAAAGGAGCACACAGTAAGAACTTATTTCTTAAAGACAAAAAGAAAAAAGGCTATTGGCTGGTGACAGTTCTTCATGATCGACAAGTTAATTTAAATGACCTTGCCAAGCAGTTAGGTGTCGGGAGCGGAAATCTGCGGTTCGCTGATGAGACGGCCATGCTAGAAAAGCTAAAAGTTGGCTCAGGCTGTGCCACACCCTTGGCACTATTCTGTGATGATGGAGATGTGAAATTTGTTCTGGACTCTGCTTTTTTGGAAGGTGGACATGAAAAGGTGTACTTTCATCCAATGACCAATGCTGCAACCATGGGGTTGAGCCCTGAAGACTTTCTTACATTTGTGAAGAAGACAGGACATGATCCCATAATACTGAATTTTGATAAAAACAACTAATTGGGCCAATGTTTAGAATATGTTTACATCTGGAAGCTGTTTTTCTTATTTCTAATTTGTAAAAAGCATTAAAAGTAATAAGAATATTTAGCACCTTGATTTGGTGACTACCTAAGTCATTTTCGGAGGGGTATTTCATCTTAAAGCTGTTTTTAAAAAGATATATTGAGGTAGTGTCAGCTCAGATCCCTCTCCACTCCCCATCCTCCATTCCCCATGACTCATTACAGAAATGCCCTCAAAAATTAAGAATAAATTAACATCAAAACTAAGGTTAACATATCTTCGACAGGTACTGTACTTGAAAAAAGCAAATGGCAAAACAGCATATATAAAATTATGCATGTGATAGTGCACATACAGGAAAAAATTAAGAGGAATATAAGTATATTGTTGATAATGGTTCTCTTTTGGGAATGAGAATTAAGGAATAAAAACTCCCTGCAAGATAATTGAAACAAGCATAGGACAAGAGCTAAAAATTCCTGTTACTGAGTATTTGTTTTTACAAGTGGTTTTTCTTGCCCTACCTGGTTTGGCTCAGTGGATAGAGCATCAGCCTGTGGACTAAATGGCCCTTGGTTAGATTCCAGTCAAAAGCACATGCCCGGGTTGTGGGCTCTATCCCCAGCAGGGGGTGTGCAAGAGGTAGCAGGTCAATGATTCTCAACATTGATGTTTTTCTCTCTCTCCCTCTCCCTCTCTGAAATCAATAAAAATATATTTTAAAAATATAGAAGTGGTTTTTCTTCAGTGAAAAAATAAGATTATTACCTTTTTATAAAAGTGTATCTTTAGAAAAGTTTTATCTAGAAAAACACTCAAAATAGGGATGGAAAATGTTGTAATCATACCATTGAAATTCTAAAACTCAGCAGCAGAATATACACAGGCCATTGGAAGGATTTATTTAGTCGTTGTTCAAAGGTTAGAAATGGGATATGAACAAGTTTCTTCTGTCTTCTGGAATATATTGTATTTTACTCATCACCTTTCAGTTATGGCATATGAAAAGTGTAAGATGCCAGGATTATATATTGTCAGTTGTCACATAGAAGGTAGTTAAAAAATAGGAAAACTGACATTTTTTCCCACCTCATTTAAATAAAACCATCAGTTGAGGGTCTGGCATAGACTAGACTACAGAAATAGTCTATAGGTCTTGTCATGAGAATTCTCATTTTCCTCTAAGTTTGATCACTCAAAAAATAATTCCCATTTGGTAGAGACACTGTACTTAATTTATACTAATTTGTGTTACTGAAAGGCAAAGTACAAGTAAAAACGGCATTTATTGATATACCAGAGGCCTGGTGCACAAATTTATGCACCGATGGGGTCCCTCGGCCTGGCCTGTACTCTCTCGCAATCTGGGACCCCTCGGGGGATGTTGGAGAGCAGGATTTGGCCTGATCCCTGTAGGCTAGGCTGAGGGACCCCACCAGTGCACAGTGCACCAGGCCTCCAGTATGTTTATAACATCTTTGGTTAATCTCTTCCTGCCCCCAACCCTCCTCTGAGATTCATCAGTCTGTTCCATGTTTCCATGCCTGTGTGTTGAGCGTCTGCCCCCTGGTGGTCAGTGTCCATCATAGCTAATGATTGTTTAGGCTTTATATATATACTAGAGGCCCAGTGCACAAAAATTTGTGCACTGGGGGGGAGGGACCCTCAGCCTGGCCTGTGCCCTCTCACAGTGTGGGACCCCTCGGGGGATGACCACCTGCTGGCTTAGGCCCACTCCCTGGGGGATTGGGCCTCTGCTGGCAATCAGACATCCCTCTGGCAGCCCGGGAGCCCTTGGGGGTTGTCCACTTGCCAGCGGGGAGCAGGCCTAAGCTGCAGTCAGACATCCTTAACGCTGCTGAGGAGGCAGGGGAGGCTCCCACCACCACCGCTGTGCTGGCAGCCGTCAGCCTGGCTTGTGGCTGAGCAGAGCTCCCACTGTGGGAGTGCACTGACCACCAGGGGGCAGCTCCTGCATTGAGCATCTGCCCCCTGGTGGTCAGTGTGTGTCATAGTGACCAGTCATTCCCAGTCATTCTGCTGTTAGGGTCAGTTTGCATATTACCCTTTTATTATATAGGATAGAGGCCTGGTGCATGGGTGGGGGCAGGTTAGTTTGCCCTGAAGGGTGTCCCGGATCAAGGTGGGGATCCCGCTGGGGTGCCTGGCCAGCCTGAGTGAGGGGCTGATGGGTGTTTGCAGGCTGGTCACACCCCCTTCAGGGTGGGGGTCCCCACTGGGGTGCATGGCCAGCCTGGGTGAGGGGCTGATGGCTGTTTTCTGGCTGGCCACACCCCCTTTAGGGTGATGGGTCCCCACTGGGGTGCCTGGCCAGTCTGGGTGAGGGGCTGAGGGCCGTTTTCAGGCTGGCCAAGCCCCCCCAGCAATGGAAGCTCCCACCCTCTCCTTTTTTTCTTTATTCTGGGATTTATTTACCTTCTATAATTGAAACTTTGTAGCCTTGAGAGGAGCTCAGAGCCGGCCAGGGCGGGAGGGAGGGAAGCTTGGCTTCCTCCATCACCAGGGGCAACCCAAGCATCCTGCTCGCTCCAGCTCCGTGGCCATGGCCTGCTGAAAGCAGGTATCTGGGGTTTATTTAGCTTCTATAATTGAAACTTTGTTGCTTTGAGTGGAGCTCAGAGCCGGGCCACGGCAGGCGGGAAGTTTGGCTTCCTCCATCATTGGGGCAACCAAGCCTCCTGCTGCCGGCTGCCATCTTGGCTGGGTTAATTTGCATATAGTCACTCTGATTGGCTGGCGGGCATGGCTTAAGGTGTAGCAAAGGTACAATTTGCATGTTTGTCTTTTATTCGTGTAGATAGATGATTAGAAGCTACAAGTCTATGACAGAGTTTTTATAAAATATACAACAGATTTGAGAGATGCGGAGTTAATAAGAAACACTTTTCATAAATGGTAACTTTATCCTGATTTGCCGTGTTAGTTTTTACCTACTCTGTACTGTATCTCTAAGATACAGTAAGTTTTAGGTTGCTTTGCATATAAAATGAAGATTTAATGAACAGACCCAAAGACCTTAGATAAGTGGTCTAACTGCCCTTCCCCACCTCTGACAGAAACAGGTCCATCCAGAAAGAATGTCCTTGCTTAAGGATACAAGGCTGGTTGCCATCTCTAACATTCTGTCTCCAATGGCTATGAGTGAAAATGAGATACTGATTTGTACAATCCATTGTTTATTGATTTTTTTTCTTAGAGAAAGAAACATCGATTTGTTGTTCCACTTATTTATGCATTCATTGGTTGGTTCTTGTATGTGCCCTGTCCAGGGATAGAAGAGAACCTGCAGCCAACCAACTGAGCAATCCAGCCAGGGCTGAACAATCTACTAAGGTATTTAAACCTACTTTGGAATTGACAACTGATACTCTTTTTCTCCCAAAACCGCTAAAACCCATCCCAAAATGATTAGGACACAATCATCTAAATAAGGTTATGGGTTATGTGAAAATTGGTTTTCCAGGGCAAAGGGAAAGGAAAGAATACTTGGCTAACTCATATTTTACAAATTTTAAATGATTACTAACCACTTGTTATAAAAATCACCTTTGCTTTATTTTTTATATCAGTTTGATAAGCAAATGTTAAGCCAACCTAATTTTAAAAAATAAAGTTAAAAACTAAAATAAAAAAGTGATGCTTTTAAAAAGGTAAACAATGGTGTCATTATAAACTGGATTTCTGTGGCTGATATTAGGTACTGCCAAACATTTTGCTATTCAACTTCAAATCCCTCAGTAGCATTACTCTGAAAGGAAATGTTACAGCTTTTATATTATTTGATTTGGTATTTAATAACATTTATAAGTACAATGGCAAACATCAAAAGAGAAACCTTAGTAGAAAAGAAAAAGACAATTTATAATCAGGTTTTGTTAAAGGGTGTTATAAGTGCAACTTCATCTATAAGCATTCCTTTTAAGGCATTTTCATTGTCCAAATATTTCAACATGTACATCAAGTTTGATATTATAAAATGGGCTCCTTTTGTATTATTCATTCAAGACTTAAAAAAAAATACATCTCAGGACTAAGTATAGCAAAAAAAAAAAAAATCACTTTTCTCCTAAGTAACTTAAAATACAAGTCATTTAGCATACATTATTCCGCATTGTAATCCAGATTTGGTATAATATCTTTTTCACTTACTGACATAAACTGTTAAGACAGTGCAGGCTGTAGTATTTCATTTGTGAGGTGGCTGCAATTCTGTAATATGCACAGTGATTTTTAAGTAGGCTCTTACCATGCCTTGCATGAAAGGTGCTACAACAAACCTGTTTCATGAACTCTTTGGTAACCACCAGTTCAAAAACTTGGACCTAAATTTCCACATGGCCAGATCTGAAGCACTTTATTGGAGTTCTAGGCCGAAACTCTTACCCTGTATATTAAATTCTTCAGTGTTTTTTGGGGGTGGGGTTAGGTGTAGATTTAGAATGAAACCAGATAATTAAAAGCATGTCAGGCTCCAGTAAAAAGGCCCCAGTTAGTTTCTAGTTGGCCATACTATTTTCTTTAAGGAAAAAGAGTGACTTTCTACTAAGTTTGCTTCCAATGACACCTTTTGGAGAAAGTGAAATATTCATGTGGTTATTATCTAGTCCTTTTTTGAATTGTTATGAAAAGGGGGATGAATATAATTGAGTCTATTCCTACTTTTGCAATTTCAAGTGTTCCCTTGGTTGTTGCTTTAACTGGGCTTTCTCGTGGTCAGCCTACTCAGACTCAGTACTTTATAGGCTGCCCTTAGATTTTCTACTTGAAGGAATAATGTGCTGCTTAAGTGAGCAGTTCTCTGTTTTAGGACATCAGTATCCTGGAGAGGTCAAGCTGTGATATCATTCACCCTCATTGGGCCACCTCCTACTCATTAATTTCAATTTTCAGTAAGTGTCCTGGGATGTGTCCTAGTTGTGCAAATTAGAAGCTAGTTAATATAAACCTAAATTACCCACTTACTGTATTTTAGCTAAACCATAATTTCTATATTTATTTTCCATTTATCCACCTAAAAACGAATTTACATTTTTTACATGCAAGTGTCTCTAGACTGCCATGATGCCCATGATCAATTTGATACTTGAATCTAGGGAGTCATGATGGAGAGAGATCTTTCAAAGTCTAGAGAATAGGTTTTAAATATGTCTGTTGTGTAAAATCTATATTTTAGTAAGAATCCTTTGTATTTACATTACACAGCACCTTTCAGCCAAGAGTTTAAACGTGATTTAACTTTATAGCACTATTTGGTGGCAAAACCTAAGTTAAATAGTGGCTAAGTTAACCAAGTCTGCTAATTTCCATTTAATTTCTGATCAACTATACATTCTGTCTTTTCATTAATGGTCTTTCTGAAAGGAGACTCTGATTACAACATAACTACTGGCCTACCCCCTCCAAAAAGATAAATATACATGAGAGAGATAAAGGAGGAGGAGGGAGAAGAGGAAGAGAGAGGAAGGGAGGGAGAGAAAAACAACACATTTCTCATGACATGTAGGTTAGTGATACACAGTTCACATAAACCACACACAGGAATACGAATTATTCGAAAAAGATTTTTAGAGCTGGTAATGAGAGCCTAAGAAGTACACTGTTAAAATTAAAAAGTCATATCATATCTTCCTCATTTAAGACTTGTAAGATTATTCTGATATTTATGTTAAATAATGAATTTGCATTAACAGGAATCAATGCATTTTTTTGATTTCATAAGAAAATAAAACTGTGATATAAAATTGGAACTACAAAAAGAATTGATGTTTCCCTGGGTTAAATTAACTAAATCTACTTTTTTGTGCTTCTTTCAAATGTTTAAGGTAACAAATGCATACAAATATTTCAAAAGTAGCAATAATAGTTACCAACTTTAATGTAATATTAAAAAGGACAAAACCAGAAAAATTCTTATTAAGTGATAACCTTAATAATAAGTGAGTTCCTGGCAAAATGCAGATCATAGTAAATTATTTACATTATATTTGCCATAAGAAAACTTCTTAAGCAACAGTCAGCTCTCAAGTTAAAAAAACAAACATACATAACCCAATACTAAAGAAGGGAAATGAGTTAAAATACAACAACTTTATCTTGGGAATGCCATTTGCTGGAAAACCACCTTACTTAAAAGTTTCAGGAAAACACTCTTTACTTAACTTGGATCCACTTGTGAATGCTTAGTGTTGCTTATTGGGGAATATGGAAAGATTAATATCACTGTAAATTTTTTATAACTCCTATCTCATTATGGATTTTTCAGATTTATCATATAAACTTGAATTTCTTGTTCAGTGCACCAAAATAATTGGCTTAAAAAAAATACCAACACATGCAGTCTGCTAACCAAATAAGACTCTGGCATGCCAAAACAAGGTTCTCTGTATCTTAATATATACTACATTCCACAACATACTACAGCGTTTGATTTAGATTATACAACTAAATATAAATCACTAAATTTTCGCTAATATTTAGCAGAAGCATTAAGCAAACATGGATAAATTCATAAACAAATGATGAAAGAAGTAGGTTGTTCTTGGAGAACTTCTTGAAACCTCAAAACACTTGGTCCTTAGCGAGAGAACATCCTTTATTCAGTAGATCTTAATAGTACAATGTATAGTAAGTCCTAAAACCTTCTAAAAATTTTGGCAGTTGACTCCAGTAGTGCTCCTTGATTCAAGGAAGGAATGAAGGTTTGTGTTTCTTGCCTGCTCTAGTCACGCAGAATTGTATAAAGTCTCCTTAAAGATTTAAAAAAATGATTTCTATAGTTGGGTGTCTTGTTACTTCAGATATAAAGGCTTCATACTGAGAAAATGAAGGACACTTTTCTCTCTGTATTTAGTTGAAAGGTAGAAAGAAGAAAGAAAATATAAGAAAAGCTTGAAGATAAGAGAGATATAAAATACAGAGCAGCCACTACAAGAACAGCATGCACCAGATATTTCTATAGGAATGAGAGTGACAGAAAGTCAGAGACAAGCTTTCCTCAAGAGGCATTTAGTTTACCCTCAATTACCAAGAACCCTGGCAAAGTTGTATTCCTACCACAAAAAAAGAAAAGACTTCACACTGAAACAGGAATTCCTAAAACATTACTCACTACTAAAATTAAATTTAAGTTGAGGAAAAAATAATTCTTAAAGGTTTGCTTCCTGTGTGACAGGCAAAAAACAATGGCAATCAAATTATCTTGCTTTACTAGTAAATAGGACAGAAGTCATGAATTAATTAAGCAAGCAATATTTACATCTGTTAATGCAATATGCACTTGTTCTTATACTTAATGCTGTTAGTTTGTATAAATGAGACTAATCTCATTTACATTTTGAGTAAGAAACTCACCACTTGGCCCACATGTCATGTAGTGGGTAATAGAATTAGGAGCTTTGTTGCTCCCTAGACCTGCTTTTTGAATTTCTGCTTTCTTGTACTTTGTCCACATCTGCAGGAAAAAAGCATTTCATGTTATTTAATCAAAAGTTAAACATAACACAATTCACGAAGATAAGAAACTTAAAGAGCTCTCATTGAATAGGGCAAGGAGAAGGAATCTAACTCTGGGAAATTCTTTAATCTGATAGACATCTCATTACTTCAAGACTGATTTTCATAGTTTAAAAGCTAGAAATAATAAGACTAGTTTTCATAGTTTAAAAGCTAGAAATAAATATGCCTCCTAGTGTCAAAAAGGTTTACTTGTTATGTTTATGTACTAAATGGTCACATATAGTTGTAAAGTAAAAAGTAATCTTGCATGCAGTGGCAGAAACATCTACAATGAAATATTTGTATTACTAAGAAAACCTGGGCTTGAGGCATATTTTGTAGGCAAATAATATACCTCATTACACTGTAATAGCTAAAATTGTTTTGGTTAAAGGGGACCCAATACATAACAGTGTAAATTTACAATGTCATACAAATAATATTGGTATAATTTCTAGAAACCTAGGCCAGGAATAGAAACTATGCAGTTTCGTCTAAAATTAGGGTATTGAATCTCACATAGTCTTTCAAATAATCTTTTGTGAAGCCATAGGATTTTTATGGAGATGTCTTAGAAAAAAAACATGTAGCTGCTCAATTGAGTCAGAGTTTTACTTTCACTTTAAAAAATGTATTTAATTGGGGGCATCTTTCTAAGATTTCATTTATATTAATATAGTGTTCTGAGAGACTTTTATGACTCCACAGCTTTTGATAGTTTCTGGAGGAAATCTAGTCTGTATTCTTAGACGATCATCAAGACACATGGACATGGTATGTATCTGTCTCACATGCACAGCGGGCATCTTCTTTTTGAAAATGTGCTGTATATGTAACTATAGCCATTTGGGTTGTAAATACTTCTTTACTGTAAAAGTAATTTTTAAAAATAATCACAGTTTTTAATATAATAGCACATGATTTCTCAATGTATGAAATGTAAAATTTAATATTTTAAATTTAAAAAATGGCCAGATTTATAATATTTAAAAAGTTGAAATAGTTGAGAAATAAAACTTGACTCAATGTGGAAAAGAAATAATAATTATTACATTTGCCTGATATATGTCCTCCATCTAATCTCACCTGTATTTGCCATTAATTTTTATTACTAGGTTATGAAAAAATAAAAGAAGGCATACCAAAAACATTTAACATGTTAGAATTGAGTATAAGACAAATGACAATAAAATAGATTGGTGTATTCACGCAGAAAATATATTAGGTGGTACTAAAAATATGAAAATTTTCTGATTTATCTGCTCTCGTACTACTTTTAGTAATAGCTGGCTATGAGAAAAGTAGTATGGTCAAAGGTGTAAGTAGAAGGGGCCTAGTCCTGAAATGAGCTTGTGTAAGTACAAACGGATGGCTTAAATTACAAAAGATACATATTTCATTAAGCAAAGATTCTCTACAGATTGTTCTTTGGTTCAATTAATAGCAATAATTAATATAACAACATGTAGTAAATAATAATTTCCTTCCTCTTTAGAAAGTTACATTTCAAAGCATTCCTTTCAGATGCCGGGCTGTTACTAACAGATATATTTAGGCTAAGTCAAAATGGCAAAAACATTCCAGAGACAGAGCGAAGATATACTCCTCCAGAGATAAGTGAGAGTTATGAGTTTTTATTTTTGTTTTATTCTGGGAGATTCAAGTTTAGCTGATTCTGCTTTTAAAGGACCACAGCAAGAGACAATTTTAAAGTTTATGACACCAGAGTCAAAGTTAGCAAATATTTTCTCTAACTTATATGGTTATTTTTTAGCTACAAGTCATATTTATTCTTAGTTCTAAAATTTGTTCTACTAAAAGTACACCTATTAAGTTTAAGTGGTTACAAATCCTAATATTTTATTTTAGCACAATGAACTCATTTTAGAAAACTTTTTTAAGGACAGACATATAATTTATAATAAATTATAAAATTATATAAGTACCAATCTTCACCACTTTGTAAACTTGCTACCTTTTTTAACAAAAGTAAAAATGCAAATTTTCAACACATTGAGTATGATTGGTTTATTTCTCTTTGACTCTATTAAAAAAAAAGAACTAGAAAAACTCTGATTCTAAGTAAAAATTAATCTTGAAGGAAGATGAAGAAAAGTGCAGAAAAGAAATAGAATACATAGAAAATGCTCCTAGACAATGTAAAAATCATATTTAAATTTGATGGGTTTTTTTAAGAATTACACTAACTTTATTAATATTAACAATATTTTAAATCTGAACAATTTTATAAATATGGGCAGTAGTTAATATTTGCTACATAAAGTATTGAGTTATTAACTATTTCTTTGAAAATAAAACAGGACAGAAGGCATAATTAAATGGCAAAGGAAAAGGACTTTTTTTAAAAACATATTTTCCTATACATGTGCAATATGTGGTGCACATTCTGGAAATAAAAGAAAGGGCCTGGCCTTCATGGCTCAGTGGCTGAGCATCATCGACTTATGAACCAGGAAGGCATCGTTCGGTTCCAGGTCAGAGCACGTGCCTGGGTTGTGGGCTCGATCCCCAGTAGTGGGGCATGCTTCGCTCACTCTCTCTCCCTCTCCCTTCCTCTCTGAAATCAATAAAAATATATATATTTTTTTAAAGAAATATTTCTTAGAAAAAGAAAAAGGAATGAGAAGAAGGAAGGGAGGAAATGAGCATTCTTTTTTGGAAGCAACAAAGTATGACTTGGAAATGCTTTCTTGGTAATTATAGCATGCAACTATCTTAACATGCTTCTAAAAGTAACAATCTCTTATCAGGCAGCAAGAAATGTAAAAGAGGAGCATGTATTGTTAAGGTTTTTAAAGTCATGCAGAAAATATACAATGCAATTAATATTTCATGCAGGCTTTGGTGTGGTTACACATTCACATTTATATACAAGCCATCACGTACAGCCAAACACTATGCCACGATTTGAAAATAAAAATATGAACCTTGCCAAATACTTTTCAACAGCAGCTCTTGAAGTCAGATTAGAGAAGCATAGTACATATCAAATGACATCAGGATTATACTGTGCAGTTTTGATCATACACAACCATATTCATACCAAACAGTCTGATTATCCTCAGAAACCAACAATGCAGCTTCTGTGTCATCAGGACAGAGGCATGCAGGGGTGATAAGATTACTGCTACCTACAGAAGACTGTGGGTTATAGTTACCACGGATCTGATTATCAGAAAACTGTTCATTATCTTTCTGTGAAGCTTTATCCAAAGAGGCAGAAGCCTGGTCAGTTACTCTGGTGACTGGCCTGGGAGGTAACCCACTTATGTTACTAACTAACTCTGTATTCAGGGATAAAAATGGCTGAGAAGGATGAGTAAATGACTCTATACTATCTTTAGCTGATATTACAAGTGTGTCATTAGACATATTAACGGAGGCAAAAGTTTGGTTTAGAAAATGTGACCTTTCTGTTGTTGAGCTCCGAGCCTGGGCATATAGAGACTCAGGCTCATCCGTAACTAAATCCATTTGTGCATGAGAACCTACAGAATATGTTGGGCTGTGAAGTTTATGGTAAGACCACTGGTGTAAACGGTACTCACTAGATGCTGCAGTGATGTGGCTATCAGCAACAGCTGGTGATGGATCAACTGACATAGGTAGTCTACTGTCCTTGGTCAAAAAATCATGGATGCTTGTCCTTCGAGTAGTCCCTTCTGCAGTGGAGATCACACTGCTAGCACGAGGTAAAGTGGCATAAGGATTACTATCTTTTGATTGTCGTGACAAAGAAGATTCTTTTACTAATTTTATCTTTCCTTGAGTGCCTGGTGTAGGTTTTCCTGGAGAACTCACAAAGTAGGTATCTTCAGGCTTTTGAGGACCAGGTCTCACAAACGGTTCAGGCTTAGTTGTCCGTCTATCGTAGAAGTCTCCAGGGCTTTTCCCACTTACTGACCTGGCCAGACCACAGCTAACGGGTTTGCTTTTCCCCAAAAAGTCAGAAGAGACAGACAAACTTTTCATTACTTCATCTAAAAGATTATCTTGACTTGAGGACTTTATCTGTTAAAAAACAAAGCAGATTAATGAATATTAGGCATGCTATTACTTTCCTGATATATTAGACTGCATAATATAAAACTGCTAGTATTTCTAAAAATACTTTACTTTAAAAAAAAAAAAATGCTCAGTTCACCCTGGCCAGTGTGGCTCAGTGGTAGAGCATCAGCCTGTGCACTGAAGGGTCTCGGGTTCAATTCCGATCAAGTTCTCGTACAGGTTTGTTCCCTAGCTGCCCTCCCCCCCACTGTGGGGGCACATGTGGAGGCAACCAATTGATGTGTCTTTCTCACACAGATGTTTCTCTCCTTCCCTCCCCTTCCACTCTTCCTAAAAATCAATGGAAAAAATATCATCGGGCATTAACAACAAAAAAGCTCTAAAGTTCAGTCACAGATATTTAACTTGAAATGCCCATCTAAATTAAGGTCACCTATAAAACTAACCTGTATTGAGGTAAGCTTGTTGCTTTCTTCCAAAAACTGTTGTAGAGTAACAACTTCACTTCCAGGGGAACCAGTTTTGACCTTGTGATGTGCTCGACTCTCAGTTTCAGGCATTTTGTGCTGGAGCACTGGACTTGATCTGGTCTGTCTTTTCAAGTACTGGATTGGACTGCTACCACTGCTGGACCAAGCCTCAAGATCATGAAGCAAGCTAAATTCCCCACTGCTATGGCTCTGTGGCCTGCTCTGGGTATTAACTGCACCTGCTTTCGGAGTAAATGGTGTGTTAAGAGTTCAATAATAGAAATGAGATTAAAACTACATAAGTAAAAAGATTTGTTGACGGGGTTCTTACGAAGAGCCAAAGTGACTTTCAAGCTTTACTTAGAAATGCTTAGCAACTATGTTTATCTTTCACTAGTCTAACAACTGCCAGATTATTTTGTCTACCATAAACTTATCAGTCTATCATAGCCTGATTATTTTGTCAATTTGACAAATATAAGCACCTTTGCCACCATACTCAGAGCCTAAACATATAATGCAGACACTTAATGCATTTGATGAGGACATGAATGAATAAATAAATGGTTAATATGTTTTTTAAAAATACAGGTTTAAATACAAATTGACCCTGAATAACATGGGATTAGGGGTGCTGACCCCCTCCCCCCCGCATATTTTCAAGAGTCAACTATAACTGTAAACCACCTCACAATTTAGAACAAAACGTGACCATAGGAATTTTAAATTATTTCTGAATGTTAAAACCAAAAACTATTCTAAATGCTGAAAATTCTAATGCTTTGCCTTTCTATGAAGTTTTTATTCCTTACTTAAAGTTTTACCTGTTCGTCCTTAATAAATGACCTTAAAGAAAAAATTTTTAAATTTAAATAGGCATAAAAGGGAAGTCATGCTTTCCACTGTTGGTATGGTGGCCACTCAGTTGAGTAACTGTATAGAATGCAAATTACTAGTTCAGGGAAAAAAGCTATCTAAAGTTTATGCTATTCCTTAAGAGTGCTAATTTATTTTGATCAAAAGCAAACTGATACAGTACATAATAAATGCAACTTTCCATGGTTTTCCAATCACAAAAGAGTAAAGTAGGTCATGAAAGAATTTGGCTCAATTTCTGTAACAATTTTATAGAAATAAGATTTTCGTAAATTTTCAAATACTTCATATGTTCAGACTACTTTTTCCTACTGGCTAAATAAACATGATTATAAAAATTTAAAAATCCCTTTTTTTCAGATCATAGCAAAAAAGCCATAGCATTAATGATAAAAATAAACTGAAATGGAGACAAAAGGATTTTATAATGCAAAGAGCAATGGAACAAATGCATTGACTCTAATTTGGCAATTCTGGACTGTACAGAATAGTATTTTAACACTTTTATAATCTATTAAACAATTCCAGAATCTGAGTAGGCAGTATACCTTTAAGGAAAAAGGTATTAGTCAAGGCTTCCAGACAGCCATTACATAACAGCCTTACCTGGAATGTATATTTAAAAACTAAGGAAAAAAATTTGAAATAATTCTTAGATGAGCTATATGCATCCACTTGGCTCTTGTTTCACATATATACACACAATTGCCTTATCAAATTAAAAAATATATTTCCCCCTATTTCGTGGATAAGTTTTGTGTATGTAAAACTCCTTCTGTGAGTTCAATGTGCATGCATCATGAAAAAATTAAGGACAACCATGTTAATGAGAAAGATAAAACATAAGTAAAATAGGAACTACAGATACTTTTGAAGTATACATAATAAAAATATTTTACCTGTGAAAGATAAAAAATGGAAACCAAAATAACTGCTCCTGTTTTTACATTTATATACATTGAAATACATTTGTATTACAATGTTGAAAGTATAAAATATTCCAAGGAACTCTGTTCCAAACAGATGATTTGGATTTCACACTTTACCCTAGAAACTTCATCCATCTCCCTTTTAAATGTGGAAATGGATGAACATATTAATAAATTTACCTACAGCATACCTTTTACTTCATGGAGTGAAGCATTATTATTGCTATTGCTAGTGGATGTCCTGCCACTATCCAGGCTGGCTGGTCTTGAAGCTAAATGAAAACATCAGGAGACAGTGTGATAAAACTTCCAGCTGCTGGCACTGAACTTTACATTCTGATCACAGAATGCTTTGAGGAAGTAATCATGCATACTTGCACACACTGAGCATGCCCCCCAATAGCTGAATCGTATACATTAGAGAGCAAAGACATTACCACATAGTTTAGTAAGACAGGGCACGTCTGAAACAATTGTTGAAATTTAAAGAAAAGAAGATAAATTGCATATTAGATTTGAATATGATTTCTAGAAGGATACTAGGACTATTTTAGATTAATAGAGTGACATGCCAAAAAAAGGTGCTAGTGATGAGGTCACTTACAACAGATCAAAGAACCCTGCACATTGCAGAGGTGCCACAAACAGGAGGAATATGAGCATCTGCAGTTAATGTTTTGTATTCCTATCCATAGAAGGGAAACCGCCGCACAGTTAACATGGCCCTATCCTATTTCTTAAAATCCTGCTTTCATATGAAATTCCTTTTACATGTTAACCACTTATTGTTAATAATTTAGTTTGGTAAGATCTGATTTTCCAGATAGAAATTTAAAAACCAGAATGCTTGACATTGCAGAATGTTGTTGTTTTTTTAATTTTCTTGTTTAAAGTATTACAAATAGTAGTACATATGTCTCATTTTTTTCCATATTGACCTTCCCCTGGCCTCCTCTACCCCCCCCACCCTGCACATGCCCTTATACCGCCCCCCCCCAGTATCTTGTGTCCATTGGTTATGATTATATGCATGCATACAAGTACTTCGATTGATCTCTTACCCCCCCAACACTCCCCAGCCTTCCTGCTGTAATTTGACAGTCTGTTCGATGCTTCTGCAGAATATGGTTTCTTAAAGTTTATATTTTCTTAGAGTAAATATGGTAAAAATTCAGAACTTTTAAACTTATACCAAAATGGCAACAAAATTACCTTTAATCATTGTTCAGGAATACTTTATAAATGACCTTGACTAAAACAGAGACTATTTAGATGAAGCAGTAACCTTAAAAGGGGCAATGGGGAGGATTAGTTTTGAAGAAATGGCAGAGGTATGAGGTGCAGGTTAGATAAAACATCCTTGCTGGCAATGCACATTCAGATTCAATGCAACATTCTATAGTTAATAAGTACTCTCTAAATAAAGTTCATATCTTACCATGAACTCTTGATCCCGTACTAGAATCATCACTAATACCTTGTGGGCTTATATCTTCAAAGGATGTAGCATCTACATAAAATAGCAAAATAGATATAAAAGTATTTCTTAACAACAACAAAGGACATTGTAAAATTTTATTTACTCAGAATATGGAAACTCTTTTTCAATTACATATAATACATCTCTATTTAATATATTTCTAGACTCAACAAAAAACTGGAACTGAAGCAAGAAAACGAATAGCTCTGATGAGTTTACTTGCCAATACAACAGTCTCCCTGACCCTGCAAAGCAAGAGCCTCGGTTGTTCTACATGTTTTTTTTTCCTCTGTTTGAAGTCATAGTGTTTTCAGGTGTGTGTGTTTTTTAAGCTTCTATTATTCTCTCCTTTTCTCAAACTTTACTTGCATTACTTTTTCTTTTCTTGTCAGCTCATTAGCTGTTTATTATCAAAAGCTTAGGAAAAACTTTCAGTTATTTTATGTCTTAAATTTTTTGAAATGCTTTGAAAATTCCCTCAAATCAAAGCCAGATTGTTTTGATAATTATTTCCGTTTGCTGCTGTCAAAAAATACACATGGGAAAATCAAATTAAAATTTCTGTTGCCAACAGTTCCACAACAGTGCAAATAGCAGACGGCCTATACCTTTATTATTAACCAACTGCTTGGATCTGAAGCCTGTAGAAGAGTTGACAGTTGAAAAGTTGATAGCTGTAGTAGAGAAGGCCATAGCTCCCAATTCTTTTCTCCTTTTACCCGTTGAAATATCATCCGGAACCTCCAAATTCTCAGTACTACCTGTCCACTGTCCTCCTGCTAGGACCATGGACTGCACCAGGTCATTCATGGCTGGGATGCAAATGAAAGCAAATGAATCAGCACGGTTAATGTTCTTGCTCTTATTTCTCTTTTGTCTTATAAATGATCTGGGGTTTTTCCCCTATGGATTAATGCAAGTGAAAACAAAAAACTGTAACCACAATGTCATTCAAATTATGACATGCATTCAGCTCAATGAAATGAACAGGCCAAAGGCTAATAAATTTCAGTAAATATTTTTATCCCATCTCCACCCCATTTAAAGATGGGAAAAGGAATTTTACTCTGTACAATTGCCATGCTTTTGCGCAGTGATGTGCAATATAATTAGAAGCCTTTATAATGTGGTTTTGTGGTGAAAAAAAAATGGAATGAATAAAGGTAAGATGGAGAGCAGTTCTTATACAGCATCATTACTGAAAATGATAAAAAGTCCTTGGTCAGAGCAGGTTACTGAAGGAATTATTCATTTTATCAATCAAATAAGTATACCATTAATAAAAACCTGAAAGAGACGATAGTCAAAGTGACAGACATTTAATGTGATTATGTAATTACCCATTCCACTTAAAAAAAAAAAAAAAAGGAAAACCAGAGTATTATTATATAAAGAATGACAAACATTTTTAAGGGTTACAGGCCATTTTATTTATTTATTTAATCTAGTTCATTAAGGAAATAAATGTCTAATGCTAAACATTCTGTTATATTTTCTTTAAGTAAATTTCTTTGGGAAAAAATCTCTAATGGCATAAAATTAGGGTTTTATTTCTGCCAACTTTTAGAAAGCACTGGAAATTTACAAGTATATTATTACATGTACAACTAAACATACGCATGTATATGTATGTATCAGTGAACATACATATAATGCAAATTCAGTGCCAGTTTTGAAAAAAAAAATTCTTCCAGCTCCTTGTATTAGAGGAAGACTGCACTTTGTAAAATAAGAAAATTGGCACAGTCCAGAGAAAGGTTAGTGAAAATTAGTAATGGAAGCCAATGTAGTCAACTGAAAGAAGCTGAACTGTCATAAAGTCTTACACATGGAACGACGGTAGCAGGCCTTCATTTTGTCTTTATCCTTCGGTCTGTTCCTCAAAAAGGGCAGTCTTTTCAGTGCAACCACTTTAATGTCAGAGCATGAGGAAAAACAGAAACAGAAAAATGAAACAGAAAAAAGGGAGAACAGATGGGAGTTAAATGTTGAAATTAAGGACAGAAATGAATGTCTGAGTTTCAGCTTATGTATGCTATATTAAAGTTATTATTCTCGTGCTGCTGAGTGATAATGAAATATGAAATAAGCACTCTGATACTTTAAAATACTTGGAATGGCACTGAAGACAATGATGAGGAACATATACTTTGAAAGCTTGGATTAGCTAAAGTCCTATAAATACAGGAACTGGTTAGAATTACTTATGGAACAAGTTTCCTAGTTAAGTTGTAAATGTATACCTTTAAAATTAGAACTATTGGTGGGACACAGAGTATACGTGCTAAAAATGTACAAGGCTTTTCAATCCTCTATTTTCTTTAATTTTTTAAATTATAAGGCTTTACGGAAAAAGTAATTTAGGCAAATGCACTTAAGAGTATTTTAGTAATATACATCACCAAAAACTAAAGTGCCTATGGGATGTTTTAAACAATCTAAAGCTTTTAAAACTTTCATTAAAAATTTTCAATACTTTCTTAAACTTTAATAAAGAAATAGCAAATTGCTTCTTGGTGCAATATGTAGTAGCACGATGGAAATATATATTCTTTGAACAGTCTTTCAAAAGATGAAATGAGCAATTACATTAAACTTCATTTTACCAAAAAGTTGTCTGGGGAAAGAGAAAAAAGAGTATTTTGACAGTAGTAATAAGTACTAACACTAAGTCCTGATAAGGCTAAAAGATATGAAGGCATCCTAAAGCAAGCAAAAATGTCCCCAAAAAAGTGTATATTACATTTTTAGGTATTTATTTTGAAGGGTTTTTTCAGTGAGGTTATTAAAAAAATCAAAGATAGCACTGTGCAAGAAGATTTTGTGAATGTAAATGAGGGTTATAACTACAGGAGTCATTAGTACAAAAATAAAAATGTTCACTAGAGTCACCAACTTTCTTAAACTACACTATATATATATTTTTTTTCCCTAAATATATTTTTATTGATTTCAGAGAGGAAGGGGAAGGGAGAGAGAGATAAAAACATTAATGATGAGACAGAATCATTGATCAGCAGCTGCCTCCTGCACACTCCCTACTGGGGATCGAGCCCACAACCGGGGCATGTGCCCTGACTGGGAATCGAACTGTGACTTCCTGGTTCATGGGTCAATGCTCAATCACTGAACTACATCTTGCTAAACTATATTTTAATAAGATTTAAATACAAAAAGCCCTGGTTGGGTGGCTCAGTTGGTTCGAGCGTCATCCCATACACCAAGAGGTTGAGGGTTCCATTCCTAGGATCAGGGCACACCCCTTGGTTCAATCCCCAGCTGGGGCACATATGGGAGGCAACCGATTGATGTTTCTCTCTCTGTCTCTTAAAACAAAACACATCGCCCGTCCGGAAAGCTCAGTGGTTAAGCATCAACCTATGAACCAGGTGGGGGTGCGGTGGGGGGGGTGGGCGGTGTGTCACGGTTTGATTCCCAGTCAGGGCACATGCCCTGGTTGCAGGCTCGATCCCCCATAGGAGCATGCAGGAGGCAGCCGATCAATGATTCTCTCTCATCATTGATGTTTCTATCTCTCTCTACCTCTCCCATTCCTCGCTGAAATAAATAAAATATATTAAAAACAAAAAACATATCCTTGGGTGAGGATTAAACTTTTTAAAAATAAGTAAAAAAAAAAAAGTAAGTAAATACAAAAAATGTATTTATTTTGGAACTACAATTCAGGCACTAATGAAACAACTTGCACAGACTTAAAAACATTGTACACAGCCCTAATAACTACGCTCTTTCTCAGGGTTTACCATTGTCTTGTAAATAATCAAAGCTCTTTGACACACTGACAAGAATCATTCATTAAGGAGAATGCAATGTACATACAGCTTTTTAACTTATATATTTGATTGCTATTAGGAAAACATAGTCATGATTCATTTAAGCTTTTAATTTGACCTATTTCTTTTCTAGCTTCATATAGCACAATTACTTTCAATGATTAAAATAAATGAACTGAAAACAATGTAAAAATGGACACTTAGCTAAACCAAAGCTGAATGGTTGCAACATGCACATGTTGTCTTTACTTTCTTTTTCTGTTTCAACTGTTTTCCAAAGACTGCTTTGCTGACAGACACTCTTACAAAAGGGAGAGGACCACAGGAGTTTCAAATCTGCCAGTGGCAGAATGTGATCTTTGTTATGGCAATTAGTTTTTAGATACACAATGTTTTTTCCCCCAAAACCATACTGAAATTAAGGGAAAATTAGCATTGTTGGATTTTGTGTTTATTTAAAAAATTCTAACCCTGACTGGTTTGGCTCACTGGATAGAGCGTCGGCCTGCAGACTGAAAGGTCCCGGTTTCGATTCCGGTAGAGGGCATGTACCTTGGTTGCGGGCACATCCTCAGTAGGAGGTGTGCAGGAGGCAGCTGATCAATGTTTCTCTCTCATCAATGTTTCTAACTATCCCTCTCCCTTCCTCTCTTAAAAAAAAAAAAATCAATAAAAATATATTTAAAAAAAAATTCTAAAACTAAACAATTGCAGGAAAAGAGAATATTACTTCCTTTTGATTCTTATTTTGAAGGTTTCAGCAGAGAGTATGAAGGAATGATGGGTAGGACAAAAATAAGTTTACAGTTGTTTGCATGGAAAATATACAATAAAAATAATTATACAATAAACTCATACAACTGTAAACTTACTTTTGCCCCATCCTGTACGTAAAACAAACAAGATGGTCTCAGAAAAGACTGTCATGCCTTTCTTGTGTAGGCTCTCATATCTGAATTGAAATATCTTCCTTTAATTAAAAAAATTAAGTATACCTACTACCATTTCTGACATTTAATAAAATGTCAGATTTTTATATCTAAAGATAGAGATAAAAGTAAATTATCTGGAAACATTTTAAGAAAACTTGATGATCTTTCTACAGTACTCAGACGTTTCATGCAGATTTGGGTGAAAAGACTAGATAGCAAAAGACCCAGGTAATATTCTTATGTGGGAACACAGAATTAAACAAATTTCTTGAGCCTACTATATAAATACACACACACGTGTGTGTGTGCACGAATACGTACATATGTATGTATATGATTTGCTGCTTGATTATGGATTCTAGTTCTTATGTGCTACAGCTGCATTCTAAAATATATCCTATAATCAATGTCTCCAATCTCCTACCTGAAAATACTGCCTTTCAAAGCTAATTCCCAAGGCCAAAACACTATCTATAGTTTTTTGAAAGTTATTCATATGGAGTGTCTACCTCTAAGGGAAGTATTAGCTGTTTTTGCCTGCTATTCACTTAAAAGAATAGTAATGAAATTATATATGTATATATATTTATTATTTTTTTTTTAAATTTAATGACTCTGGTGATTGAGTAGATTTGAAGTATACTGTTTATATAATTTATAAGAACACTGATAGTCAACTTCTTAGACATCTTCTAAGGGCCCAGGATTGGATTCTTTTCTCTTTCTCTTAAAATGCACTTCTTTAACCGTTTACTCTGCTCTTCCTGTTTAGCTAAGCACACTAGTAATGAAATGAAAAGATTATGAATTATACAGGGCACATTATGATGTGAACTTCTGTATTTGTAATTAAGAATATTAAATCAGCCTTGGCTGGTTCGGTTCAGTGAACAGTCGGCCTGCAGATCGAAGGGTCCCGGGTTCGATTCCGGTCAAGGGCACATACAGGAGGCAACCAATCAATATGCATCTCTCACATCTATGTTTCTTTCTGTATTTCTCTCTTCCACTCTCTCTAAAAGATCAATGGAAAAATATCCTCGGGTGAGGATTAACAAAAAGAGAAAAAATACTAAATCACAAGTTTATACACAAATTTGTATCTCCTCCCCTATTTTAACCAATCCTTTATCAGTCACTCAAAACTTTTCATAACTATCAATTATTTCTAAATCTTTAAATAGCATTCTCTTCAAATTTATACCTATTTCTTTGCTTTGCCCAATGTAACTTTGTTCCAATTTGATACAAAAGTATAAGTCAAACCTCATTATAAAATGCCTTATTCTATTCTAATTATGAAAATGAGCTCTTATAAATATTTCTCACTTGCTCCTCATAATCACCCTGGTAAGTATGACCCAAAGGTGAAACACTTGCCCATATTAACAGAACTAGCAAATGGCAGAGGTTTCTGGCTCTTATTTCAATGTTCTTTCTACACTGTTTTACCTCCCTGGCCAAATGCTGGTATCCCTGTGTATGGAATACCTTTACACACACAATATAGAAAATCATGTAGTTATGTATTATTGTAGTATATAATGAATTTTATAATCATATAGAGTTACAAAGAAATGCATTAAGACTATTATCTCAAAGGAGTGTTGAAGTTATTTTTAAAAAATCTTTTAGAAAGGATTCTAAATCAATGCCAGACATAACAAATGTTTAAAAAGTTTAAGCACTCACTGCTGCTTTTCTTGGTCCCCAAAGTTTGGCCATCTTCTAAGGAGTTTGAACCTACGGAAGAACTATCTTGACTATCTTGATGGGGGAGTTGAAGAAATCCTTCACCGGAGTCTGAGCGGGTAGGTGTTAATGTTAGAGATTTCTGACGTTCCCGATTAATATCTTTCTTAGACTTTATCAATTTTCTCATTTTTAGAGTAATCCAGTTGCCTCTCCTGATAGAATAATTTAAAAAGTTCTTATTAGTCTAAAATAAATCCTTCACAAAATTAGAAGTTTAAAATATTCTGTTCTTTTTTCAGAATAAAAATGAGTAAATTTTGGTTAATAGTACCTCCTAGGAGGAGATGGCTCATAAAATTTGTATTGATCCATAATTTTCTCTTCTAATTTCTCCTTCTGTCGTCTTAATTCATTTAACTTATCACTATAAAAAAAATTAAATTTTAGAACATACATCATATTTTGTACAGTTATGATATATTTCTATGGCCTCCTACACATATCTCCATTATGGCAATTATTTGTATTTCTCACTTTATATTACTAGTTCCTTAAGAGCAGTACCCATGTTTTCATGTTAGTATTTCCAGTTATCAGCACAGAACCTGAGACATAAACATTTAAAAAAATATATGTTGAAATAATGTTGAAAGCCAAAAAAAATTAGATTGTTTTCTCTGCCACCAGAAATTGCAATTATAAAATCATAACTAATATTTCACAATGCAAAATTATTTGGTACCTACATGTACTGTCTTTGTTCAACATGAAAAAGATCCTTGCTTTCCATATTCTGCTCCAACAGTGTTCTGTTCTGCAGCATTAATGTCTGGATTTGATCTAGTAGATGCCGATTTTCTTCTTCTAAATTTCCTTTAAGTTGGCTTAGCAACTGTTGAAACACAGTTATTTTTTAAAATATCAACATTTACATTTAACATAAATCACCCAAAACATCTGAAAAATAGAGTACTTCACAGATTTCTATCTCCTGCTATCTGAACAATTAGATGATCACACTTTGGTCAGAATGTGAGTGATTAGTTTAGTAATAATGACAGCTAAAGAACTGGGTTATGTGCTATACATCTATGTTTTCATAATTCTCACAAACATTGGGCTTATCATAAATTAGTTCCAAAAACACGGCTTTCTTAAAAATTGTTTAACTTATATTCTGAAAGCTAGATTCAAATCTCTGGCCTTTTAAGTAGCTATGAAACACTGAACAAGTTAGTTAATTCTCTGAGCTTCAATGACCTCATCTATAAAATGAGGATAATCCCATCCTGTAAGATTTTTGCAAAGATTAAATAATACATGTAAAGTACCTGGTGTCATGCCTATGGCACCCAACAGATACTTCATAAACCTCTTTCTTCCTTCAACCACTGTTTTCAAGGGACCTTATAAGTTGCTATATACTTTTTGCGGCTTGAACAAAGGAGGAGGTAATCTTGTCAAGGATTGGTATTGCTAGCTCATGTTACTTGTAGTTGGGCTGCTTTTTCTTAATAGAAATTGGAAGGAAATATGCTTTAGTTAGACCAGTGGTTCCAATAGAAATCAGAAAGTCCACAGTAGTGATCCTCAAAATTTAACATCACTTATAAAGTATATTTTTTAAAATGTAGATTTCTGGATGCTAGCATTTGAATTCAGCAGGTCGGGAGTAGAGCCCAGAGAAATGTATTTTTTAAAAAATATATGCCAACAATAATCTTTCCTCCAAAAAAATAAGATAAAGAAAACAAACATTTAAAAAATTCTCAAGGCCCTAGCTGGATAGGTCAGTTGATTAGAACATCATCTCGACATGCCAAGGTTGCAGGTTCGATCCTGGTCAGGGCACATACAAGAATCAACCAATGAATGCATAAATAAGTGGGACAAATCGATGTCTGTGTGTGTGTGTCTCTCTCTCTTCCCTTCTTCTCTCTCAAATCAATAAATAAAACCTATAGAAAAGCTATTTATGAATATCCATAAACAGTCATCTAGATCTAACAACTGCCAATGTTGTGCTGTTTCTTTCATTTATCTATATATTATTAAATTGAAATATAACATGTGACAGATTCATTGCAAAAGTGAATCCAGTTATCCTCCTCCCTATACGTATATCCTCTTACAATGTGACTTCTCACTCTTCTCATCAAGAAAAGGAATCTATTTTCTCTCTTCTCATATTTGGAATGCCTTTGGCCAAGAGAAGGAGATGGAAGTGATTGTGTGACAGTTCCAAGCTCAGACCTCAAGAGGCTTATGTACCTGCTGGAGGATGAGAGACTGAGTAAACAGGGAAGTTATGCTAGCTGGGGCCCCCCTACACCAGCCAGCCCTCAGAGTGCATGCCAGATACCCGCAGATGCAGGAGCAAGCCCGACTATGATCAACTACTGTTGGCCTACACAGCAATTCATGGATCAGCACATCTGCTCAACTGACCCATAGACTCACGAGCAAAAATAAATGTTTACTGTCCATTATTATTGTTATACAGCATTATCATGTCAACAGACATTGATTAAAACATATGTATAGGAAAAAAAATTTTAAGTGTATATACAGCTCAATGAAGCATTATAGTAAACACATGGCCCTGGCCAGTGTAGCTCAGTTGGTTGGGTGTCATCCCGTGCAACAAAGGATTGCTGGTTCGATTCCCAGTTGGGGCACATGCCAGGGTGGCTGAAGCATGGTCCCTGGTAGGGGGCGTGTATGGGGCAGCCAATATATGTTCAGCTCTTGCATTAATCTCTCTCTCTCTCTCTCAAAATAAATTTTAAAAAATCTTCAAAGTGAACATGTGTGAAACCAGCAAGAAGCAGCATATTAATTGTATTCAAAAAACACTCACTGTGCTCTCTTCTAGTCACTATCCCTTCCCACAAAGATAGATTCATTTTTTCACTGTCTCAAATTACGTTATGTGACTTAGCCCATAGCCAAGGGTTAACATTTGAAGTTGGGACAATCAGCCAGGGTTAAGCAGGTAGCGAAGGGCTTTTTCTGGTCTCTCCTAGGCAGCCTTCCAAACCACTAGTGACATGTGGGACATTATCAAGACCCACTATGGCTGACTGTCTCATTGCTTGGATCTCACAGTAAAATTTCTGACGCGTCTGATCTGTTACTTTGTCCCAACCAATATTCCAACCTCAGGCTATCTGAGAGTTGGCCTTTGACAGCGCTCCTGGGCCTGGGGCTTTTCTGTGCCCTGCTCAAATCAAGCCAGTCCCTTCCAGTAGCAAAGGGGCTGCTTTTCATGGATTGCCCTGCACCCAGGCAGAACTACCGGGTACTGAAACGAGGAGAGGGAGAGGGAATGAGAATGGGAGAAGTCACATTGCCTCAGACAACTATAGCTCCTACCCAAAGTTGAGCCGTTTTTAATAAATGCTTCTCAACGTGTTGTTTGCTTCTGCGTGAGTTCCACAGTACTAAAATAATAATTTTTGACAGTTTTGTCGAATTTTGGTTCTTGGGGAGTTAATTCTTCATGCTCCTCTACCATTTTGTAAGTCCATTACCCCAATCATATTTTACTTAAGACTTTTATAAATCACAGGCAGAATGAGTGTTCTATACACTGTAAGCTTTGAGTATTTAAATGTACAGTGTGGGGCAAAGTAGGTTTATAGTTGTAAGCACATAAGTTTATTCTTGTATTATTATTTACTAATTATTATACTAATTTTCCATATGCACAACTGAAAACCTACTTTTGCCCCAACCTGTATATGCTTTCAAACTAATTTTTCTTTCTATTGGTTTATAATTTAATACAAAAAGCTTTTTGGTATTACTTTTCTTATACAGTCTATTCCTAACTCTATTTAAAGGTTTGCTTAAGTGCTGGTTCCCTAAAAGTTCCATAAAATTCAGGTGTTAAGCTATATTCAAACTAATTATTTAGGTACCAACCATAAAATTTAAGGGTGATCTAAGACTTTCACTATCATTTTTATATTTCAAAACATTTAGCACTTTATCAAACCATTGTAAGAGCCATGAAATTACATTAAGAATAAAACTGTATACATAGGCATAATGTCATTTCTATTTAAAACCCACCAATGGCTCCTAATTTTATTCAGAATAAAAGTCAAAGTTGTTTGCTTGTTTTCACAATGGCCTATAAGGCAACATGTCTGGCCCACGCACATCTCTGATCTCACTCCTGCCACTCTCCCCTCTGCTCATTCCGTTCCAGCCACACGGGCCTCCTTGAGTGTTCCTCAAACACACCAGGATTCCCCTGGCCTTAGGGTCAGTGTATTGGCTGTTTGCCTGGAATATCTTTTCCCAGATATCCACAGAACACCCTAATCTCCTTCAAATCTTTGTTCAATGATGCCTAGAATTTCAATCTGCACTCCCTTACCCCGCTCCCTGGCAGTCCTTACCCCCTTTACCCTACTCCATTTGTCCTTGCACATAATTTATCACTTTCTAACATACCATATGTTGCAGGCTCATTTTCAAAATGGTTACACCAGTATTTTTAGTCCATGTGCTTTTCCAGAATCTTGCTTTTCTCCATCGAGAGGCTGAGTCTATTTCTCTTCCCCTGAATCTGCACAGGACTTAGATGCCTCAATGAATAGAATGCAGGGGAAACGATGCTGCATGACTTCTGAGGCTTGGTCATTAAAACAAAGATGGTTTTCGTCTGACCATGTTCTGACCATGTTGTGAGAAAGCCAACAACTGCCCATGGGAAGAGATCACACAGAGAGGAAACGGATACCCCCCTGCAGCTGATAGCCAGCATCCACCACCAGCCTTTCCATCCTCCCGCCGAGGGCCCAGGGGCAAGTGGAGCAGAGGCAAACTGGCTCCCTGTACCTGTCCAAATTCCCACCCACAGAATCTGTGAGCATAATAAATAATTGTTTTATACCACTAAGTTTTGGGGTAATTTGCTATGCAGCCATATGTAACAAAACACTGAAAAAATGTATTTCACTTACTTATTATGTTTATTGTCTGTTTCCTTCCACCAGAATATAAACTACACAGGGGAGAGAGTTTTACCTATTTAGTTTACTAGCATATGCCAGGTGGCCAGTAACATTTTTCATAATAGTAGAAATGGTTTTATATATAGTAAAAGTACCTGAACATATAAGTTTAAACAATAAAAAAATTGAAATTAGTAATAAAGGAAGTTTTTTGAATTACTTATGAATTTCAATTATCCATGACCAATTCTTTTAGAAACATCCCGCTAAATATACACTGCTGGTCACTATAATATCACTGCTTAGTTTTTAGATGTGTCTGGATGCCTAACGAAAGGGAGACAGTGATTAAACTTGTTAAAGCTCACCTCACACTGATTATTTAGCTTGGTGGATGTAATGTCCAACTGTTGGTATTGTTCCTTCAGCTTTGAAAATTCAGCTTCTAATCTTGTTTGTTCCAGTTTGGAATTATTTAGAAGACTTTTCAAGTTTTTATGGTCAGTTTGTAAAACTTCAGTTTCTTTTAAAAGCTGATTATAGGTATGATTCAACCTATAATTAGAAATCATAATAGAATATAATCAAATTCTCTTAATAGCTTTCATTGTCATTTACAAATGTGAAAATGCTGTAAATCACATTCAGACATACTTTAGAGAATATAAAGAATTCTTCTGCCAATTACTACACTGATCAAGAATCAGTTTCTATTTCGTAAAAACTAGATTTTTAAAAAATTGAGTACTTTTTTCCCTTGAAATGAAATCTCTCAGCACTTAAATATGTTGAAGATGTAAAGACACGCAAAATTTTGTGTGCTGCCTTTTAGCACTTCAGCTATGGCAATGTAAGTGCAGTGAAAATGTTTAGGCAAAGCATGTCAAACTCAAAGGCTACACGGGCCAAATAAATGAGGCATGTGGCCCACGGGCCATGGGTTTGACATGCTTGGTTGGCTTAAGCTGTTTAAACTTTTCAAAGGTTTCTAAAAATCTTGAAAATGTACCCTTATGAAGTAACTTGATTACCAGTGGCAAGTTTTGATTTTCCCAAGGCTTCAAGTTAAAAAAAAAATTGCTTCATGGCAATATGAGGCTATTAATACCTAAGATTGTTAAAAATAAAAGTATGAATAAATCAGCTAGAAAATCATAAGGTTTCTCACTTGTAGCAACTTCAAAAGACAGGAATTGACCAGACTAGCAAAAAAAGAGAAAGACATAAAGAATCAGGTCCATTACATTCTGTCTTAATAAAGTATGCAAATGCTGTCAAGGCACAAAAATTTCATTATGTAACGTGGCTTAAAAACTTAAGTTACTTGGCCCAACCTGAATGACTCAGCTGGCAGAGTTCCGTCCTATGCACTGAAAGGTTGCTGGTTCACTTCCCAGTAAGGGCACATGCCTGGGCTGTGGGTTTGCTCCCCAGTCGGGGAGCATAAAGAAGGCAACTGCTAGATGTTTTTTCCTCTCTCTCTCATCCTCTCTCCTTCTTTCCCTCTCTCTAAGCATATCTTCAAGTGTGGGTTTAAAATAAAAAAGCTTAATTAGTTGAATAGAGAGAGAAAAGGAGATCTAGGTTTTTGTCTGAGCCATTCTATAACTAGCTGCATGATTTTGTTGGTAATTTACTTATTGCTGGGGTCTGTTTTTAAAATTCTAACTTATGGATGGTACTGCAAAGAGGTAGTATACTCTTTAGATGTAATGAATAATAATACAAAACTAAAATATGTAAGTATTTATTACCTACCTATCATTTTCACCACAAAGTTTCTTGTATTCTGCAGCTACAGTCTCATGGTTTTTGTTTTCAAGCAGCATTTTTTCCTGTTCTACTTTCAGTGTTTTTTCCAAATCTTCCAATTGTCCTTTCTGTTTTAGTAACTGATTATAACTGGGGGGAAAAGTTAGATATTTGGTTTATAATATTTCCTCAAGGGGAAAAATACTTTAAAATGAAAAAAAAAAAGAGTAATTTATTACATGCCAGTATCACAAAACATGTAAATTTATATAAATTTCCTATATAATCTCTTAGATGTGTTTAACTCAACATTTACTTTATTACCCAAAGTAAATAGGTTTTAAATTAAAAACACAGAAAATATAATAAATTACCGATCTTCGAGGTCTTTATGCTCCACCTCAAGATTTTTGTGGGCAGACTTTAGAGTTCCATGTTTAGCAATGAGAGATTCATACTCCGAAGCCTGCCGTTCATGAAGAAGTTCCAGTTTTTCATGATCTTTGATCAGAGAATCATAGAGAGATTTCAGGTCTTCCCGCTCTTTGATTACAGACTCATTTTCATTTTCTAAGGAAGACTGCTGGATTAGGAGTTGTGCATTCTGGTTCATAAGAGAGGTACTTTGGGAATTAAGTGTGGAATTTTCAACCTATAAGAATGTATATTGTTATCAGACATAAGGAAAATAGCTTATATTGTTCTTTTTTTTTAAAATAAGATTACATTAACTTTATGAAGTTCTAAATAAATCAAAGCAGATATATGCACATTATACTGAGAAAATTTGAATTTTCATGTCCCAAAGAACAAGGTTACCATTTAACTTTGATTTTTGGTAGGTGTTATTATATATTTACTAGAGTGTGTGTATATATATATATATATATATTAGGGGACCTAAATATATATGTTTTAGGTTGAATTATTTTAATAGCATAATTCAAGACTTTGGTTGCATATCCCCCACATATTACATTACAACCTGGAGCTTGGCATTCTGTGTTTGAAGAGTAGTATTCTGCTCTTGTAATGACACTGTCTGCCTCTGAAGTGCAAGAATCTGAGCCTGCAAATTATTGTTCTGTGTCTCAAGTTGCTTCAGTTGAGTTTTCAGTGCTTGCTTCTCTGCTTGTAGTGTAGCATTCTTAATAAAGAAAACACACATATTATAAATAAAAGCAACATCAAACTATTTCTATTTAACAGATACTGGAATTGTGTACAAGTATTTTTTTACCATTATAATAAAAAATAACCCTAATAATCTTAAAAGAGAAAAGAAAATATTCCCTCTATCCCAAATGGTAAACAGATATCTAAGAAAAGAAAGCAATAATTATAAAATCTTAATAGACTACTGCATCTGTATCTGTCTGCTTTATAATACCTGAAAAATAAAATACTCCATTCTAAATATATTGACTAACACAAAAAACTAGAATGTGACTGTCAGTTGTACGGTTTTCATGCTGCTCAAAAGTGCCCAGTGTGTCCAGAATGAGTGGGGTTGTTTCTAGTCAATGGAGTGCTTCTTTTCTAAATGCCCAAAGGCAAATATAGATAGATAGACAGACAGACAGACAGACAGATATGTGGTGGTCACAAGGATAGCAGCAAAACGAAGTATTTTACAAACACAAGTATTTGGAAGAGAAGTAGAAACAATATTAACCATCTGTTTAAAAATTTTAGTGCCTACAAACCTAACAGATATTACATATTTTCTTTAGTAATTATTTTCCATGGTATAAAACACTCACTATAGCTCTATTTCATCTATAGGACTTCTAGAGCAAATCCAAACTAAACATACCATTTTCAGTTTTTCCAGTACATATGGCCATAATTCAGTTTTATAGTTAAACAGTTGAATTACTGTGCAAATCATAGTTAATGCTCTAGATATTAAAATGTTTGTCATGAGTATTATATTTTCAGGATTACTTCTAAATAACATACCATAAATAACATAGCATCAAAAGGTATAAACATAGAATCCTAATCCTCTAAAAAACCAAATTTAAAATCTTTAATATATAAGAGACCAGAATTTACATATAATTGCAATATGTATAAAAAGTTACAACTGAGCTCTAGCCAGTTTGTGGATAGAGCATCAGACAGCGGACTGAAGGGTCCTGGGTTTGATTCCTGTCAAGAGCATATACTTTGGTTGCAGACTCAATCCCCAGCCCTGGCTGGGGCCATGTGGGAAGCAACCAATCGATGAGTCTCTCTCACATGGATGTTTCTCTATGTCTCTCCCTCTCTAAAAAAATCAACAGAAAAATATCCTTGGATGACCTCACCAGTTTGGCTCAGTGAACAGAGTGCCAGCCTGTGACTGAAAGGTCCTGGGTTCGATTCTGATAAAGGACACATGCCCTGGTTGCAGGCTCGATCCCCAGTTGGGGGCGTACAGGAGGCAGCCGATCAATGATTCTCTCTCATCATTGATGTTTCTTTCTCTCCCTCTCCCTTCCTCTCTGAATTCAATATATATATATACACTCACACATATATATCTCCATCCTTGGGTGAGGATTAACAACAACAAAAAAGTTACAATTGAATCCCAACAAATTACTTTTATCTTATCTACATTTAGGGGACAACAATAATATTCACTTGATAGGGTTTCATGTTATATATACTACCTAACTGTATAAAAGATAAGTCAGGATTTAACTCACATATACCATAAAAACCAAAGATAAAGAACCTAAATGTTTCAAAGATGTTTTTGATACTGAACTTCTTTTGTTCATTTGTTCAAATACAAAGGATAAAAATTGATTTCACAGAGGAAGGGAGAGGGAGAGAAAGATAGAAACATCAACAATGAGAGAGAATCATCGATTGGCTGCCTCATGCATGCCCACTACTGGGGATTGAGCCCACAACCCGGGCATGTGGCCCCGACCGGAATTGAACCTGGGACCCTTCAGTCTGCAGGCTGATGCTCTATCCACTGAGCAAAAACAGTCAGGGCCTAGAATACCATCCTGACACACTAAAGAATTAAGCGATTTTTCCCTTGGATATGTTACGTACTATTGTAGTTCAGCTCTTTAGAAATCAAAATATACAAGCTCTAATGATCCTAGAAATAACAAAAATTCCTACAGTCTGTAACGAACAGATGAGATAGCTAAGTAGAAAGAATATCTCAGAGCGGGAAAAATTTACA